TAATATTTTTATATAAATATGTAATATTTATATATATCTTAGGGTTACATGCGATATTTTGTTACATGTGTAAAATGTGTAATGATTAAGTCAAGGTATTTAGGGTATCCAGCACCTTGAATATTTAACAATTCTATGTGTTGGGAACATTTTAAGTCCTTTCTTCTGTTTGAATTATACAATGCATTATTGTTAACTACAGTCACCATACTCTACTCTTGAACATTATAACTTATTCCTTCTTTCTAATTGTATGTTTATACCCATTACCCAACCCTTCTTCATAGCCCCTCACAACACACCCATCCCAACAGTTAGTATTTATCTTCTACTCTCTACATCCATGAGATCAACTCTTTTAGCTCCCATATGAGTGAGAACATGCTATATTTGTCTTTCTATGCCCGGCTTATTTCACTTCACATAATGACCTCCAGTTTTATCCATGTTGCTACAAAAGACATGACTTTGAGATGGTTTTGCTCTTGTTATCCAGGCTGAAGTGCAATGGGGTGATCTCAGCTCACCATAAGCTCCACCTCCCGGGTTCAAATGATTCTCCTGCTTCAACCCCTCAGGTAGCTGGGATTACAGCCATGTGCCACCATGTCCCGCTAATTTTGTATTTTTAGTAGAGATGGGGTTTCTCCATGTTGGTCACGCTGGTCTCAAACTCCTGACCTCAGGTGATCCGCCCGCCTCGGCCTTCCAAAGTGCTGGGATTACAGGCGTGAGCAACCTGCACATGGCCTGAGTGCATTACTTTTTATGGCCAAATAGTATCCCATTGTATACCATATTTTCTTAATCCACTTGTCTGCTGATGGATACTTAGGTTGATTCCATATCTTTGTTATTATGAATAGTGCTGTAATAAACATGGGGGTACAGGTATCTTTCTGATATGCTAAATTTCTCTTCTTTTGGATAGATAGTAGTAGGACTGCTAGATCACAGGTAGTTCTATTTTTATTTTTAGAAATAGTCATACTGTTTTCTGTGATGGCTATACTGATTAAGAGTCCCACCAACAGTGTATAAGAGTTCTCTTTTCTCTGCATCCTCACCAGCATCTGTTATTTTTTGTCTTTTTAATAATAGCTATTCTAACAGTTACCAAGATGATATTAAAATACAACTATATGGTTTTAAAAGGAAGTTGATGTAAAAAAAATACAGCTATTCCAGCCAGGCACAGTGGCTCACGAGGTCAGGAGTTGGAGACTAGCCTGGCCAATATGGTGAAACCTCGTCTCTACTAAAAATACAAAAAAACTAGCCAGGTGTGGTGGCGTGTGCCTGTAGTCCCAGTTATTCGATGAGGGTGAGGCAGGAAAATTGCTTGAACCTAGAAGGCAGAGGTTGCAGTGAACCAAGATTGCACCAATGCACTCCAGCCTGGGCAATAGAGGGAGACTCCGTCTCAAAAAAAAAAAAAAAAAAAAAAAAAAAAAAAAAAAAAAAAAAAAAAAAAAAAAAAAAAAAAAAAAAAAAAAAAAAAAAAAAAAAAAAGAACTAAAAAATGCTGAAAATCCAAGCTGCATTCTTCATTTTGGAAAGCATATCCCCTTGAATTCTTGAGGATGATACAGTGACCCTAGATGCCAGAAAAGGGCATGAGTGTGCTGGCTTAACCCCTCGGCTGCCCACAGAAACACAGAGCATCCCAGTGTGATTGTGCTGTAAGCCACCACACCCTAACTCCAACACTGTATTTTTTTCAAACTTTTTTTACTCTTTTTTTTCAAGAGAGATGAGGTGTCACCATGTTGCCCAGGCTGGTCTTGAACTCCTGGACTCAAGTGATGTGCCCACCTTAGCCCCTCAAAGTGATGGAATTACAAGCATGAACTACCTTGCCTGGCTCAATACTGATTTTTAATTTATTTCTTTCTCTCTCTCTCTCTCTCTTTCTTTCTTTCTTTTTGAGACAGAATCTCCCACTGTTGCCCAGGCTGGAGTGCAGTGATGTGATCATAGCTCACTGTGGCCTCTGCCTTCCAGGTTTAAGCAATTCTCGTGCCTCAGCCTCCCGAGTAGCTGGGACTTCAGGCATGTGCCACCATGGTCAACTAATTTTTGTATTTTTAGTAGAGATGGGGTTTCACTATGTTGGCCAGGCTGGTCTCAAACTCCTGACATCAGGTGATTTGCCACCTCAGCCTCCCAAAGTGCTAGGATTACAGGCATGAGCCACCATGCCCAGCTGCCTGTATTGTTAAATAAAGGTTTTTATTTTGTGCAAAGCCAAAAAGAATTTAAAAAAAGAAAAAAGTTTGTAAATACATATATATGTGTACACATACATACATACATACACACACAACACCCCAAATTCATGACAACTAGCCACAAGAGGGCGCCTCCACAATGGAAAGAAACCACCAACCTTATTTCCTTTAGGTGCTTATTTGAATAAGTGTTGGACAGGCGTTTTCAAACTTTTGTAGAGGAACTTCTATTTCAAATCATTTATTTTTCCATAGCCATAAGCTTGCTAGATACTCATATTTTACGGGCTATCCACAGCTTAGATTTAATCTTCTTAACTGGAGAGTCCATGTATCTAGTACTTGGTAAATGAGTCCTTACATTACTTTTAAGAGACAAGTTCTCACTATGTTGCCCAGGCTGGAGTACAGTGGCTATTCACAGGCTTGATCATTGTGCGCTACAGCCCTGGACTGCGCTCAAGCAATCTTCCCACCTTAGCCTCTGGAGCAGCTGAGACTAGAGTGTGTACCACCATGTCTGACTAATTTTTTTTCATTTAATTAAATTAATTCATTTTGAGACAGGGTCTCGCTCCCATCACCAAGGCTGGAGTGCCGTGGCACTATCACAGCTCACTGCAGCTTGACTTCCTGTGCTCAGGTGATCCTCCTACCTCAGCTTCCTGAGCTGGTGTCAGATGTATGTCACCACTCCCAGCTAATTTTTTGTATTTTAAGTAGAAATGAGGTTTCACCATGTAACCATGGCTGGTCTCAAACTCCTGGGCTCAAGCAGTGCGCCAGCTTCAGCTTTCCAAAGTGCTGGGATTATAGGCGTGAGCCACTGTACCTAGCTTCATTTTTCATTTTAGAGATAGGGTCCTCAATTTATTGCTCAAGCTGGTCTTAAAACTCCTGTCCTCAACCAATCCACCTGCCTCAGCCTCCTGAATAGCTGGGATTACAGGTGTGAGTCACCTTGCCTAGCTAGTCCTTACAATATTAAATACAGATTAAATGAGAACTGGCACAATGGCTTATGCCTATAATCCCAGCAGTTACTCAGGAGGCTAAGACCGAGAATAGCTTGAGGCCAGGAGTTAAAGACCAGCCTGGGTGACATAGTAAGACCTCATCTCTAAAAAAAATAAACTGAAGGCCAGGGAACAATGGCTCATGCCTATAATCCCAGCACTTTGGGAGGCCTAGGTGGACAGATAACCTGAGGTCAGGGGTTCAAGACCAGCCTGGCCAACATGGTGAAATCCGGTCTCTACTAAAAATACAAAACTTAGCAGGGTGTGATGGCAGGTGCCTGTCATCCCAACTACTCAGGAGCCTGAGACAGCAGAATTGCTTGAACCTGGGAAGCAGAGGTTGCAGTAGGCCCAGATCATGTCACTGCACTCCAGTGTAGGGGATAGAGCAAGACTGTCTTGAAAAAGATAAATAAATAAACTGAAAAGGCCAGGTGCCATCACCTATAATCCCAGCACTTTGGCAAACTGAGGCAGGAGGATCTCTTGAGGCCAAGAGAGTTTGAGACCAGGCTGGGCAACAAAGTGAGACCCCAGCTCTCCAGAAAAAAATTTTTTTAATTAGCTGGGTGCTGTGGTGAGCACCTGTAGTCCTAGCTGCTAGGAAGGCTTAGGAGGGAGGATCACTTAAACACAGGAGAGTTTAAGGCTGCAGTGAGCTCAGATCACGTCACTGCACTCCAGCCTGCGTGACAAAGCTAGACCCTATCGAAAGAAACAAAAGGAAAGGAAGTTTAAGGAAAGGAAAAGAGGGAAGGGGGAAGGGAGAAGAGAAGGAAGAAAGAAAGAAATGCTGGGCAGCTACTCCAGTGGCTGAAACTGGATCCCTTGATCCCTAGAAGCTCAAGGCTGCAATAAGCTATGATGGATCACGCCACTGCACTCCAGCCTGGGTGACAGAGATCTCCACTCTTAAGAAAAAACAGATGAACTGTAAAAATGCCATGTTCTACATATGGTATTATAAATGTGCTTCAAGTCATGTATCAGGCTTTAAAAAACTGCTAATAAAATAAGAGAAACCAGGTTTCTTTCTGTCATCATCACTTTTAGTTGCCATATTTTAACACATTTTAAAGTCTGGTACAAATGATAATAGTTTAAAACAGATTATGGTACAGTCATGCATCACCTAATGACAAGAATATGTTTTGAGAAATGTCTAATGCATCAATAGATGATTTTGTGATTGTATGACCATCATAGAGTGTACTTACATAAGCCTAGTTTGCACAGCCCACTATACACTTAGGCTATATGCTATTGCCTATTGCTCTTAGGCTACAAACTTATACAGCATTTTACTGTGCTGAATGTTGTAGCAACTGTAACACAATGGTAAGCATTTGTGTATCTTTTTTAATGAGATTGAGAATTGAGATGACACCACTGCACTCCAGCCTGGGCAACCAGAGTGAGATTGTGGTTGCCCAGGCTGGAGTGCAGTGGTGTCATCTCAATTCACTCAGTCTCCTGAGCAGCTGGGACTACAGGCGCACACCACTATGCCTGGCTAATTTTTTTTTTTTTGTATTTTTAGTAAAGATGACGGTTTCACCATGTTGCCCAGGCTGCATTTGTGTATCTTAACATATGTACACTTAGAAAAGGTATAGTAAAAATATGGTATTATGACCTGATGGGATTGCTGTTGAATACGCAATTCATCACTGAAATGTCATTATGCAGTGCATGACTATATAACAGTTCCATTTAATTACTATTAGAAATAAAAAGTAAGCATCTCTACCTAGAGAAACTTCCTTGATGAGCTCAGCAGCAGCATGGCAACCCTGAACAAGTATCCTGGTCCAGGATGACAGATCCCGATGTGTCTCCACCCTGAAGAGATGCATCTCAATGCCCTGTCGAGAGCCTGTCCTGGTAGCAAACGTAAGGTCAGATCCAAGGGAGGGGGATCGACATCCAGAGCCAGAATGAACCAACCTAAGACCACAAACAGAGCAGAAATCAAAAGTAACTATAGCATTATCAGAGAAAAATGTCAGGAATTTGCGCTCACTGATAAGCAGAAACTTATAAAAGCCATCAGCAGTTTTTAGATATATGCATTTCTAAGTAAGATTATAGTCTATGAACTAGAACCCATTCTGTTTTCCTATAAAATGACCCCTGGTGTCACAGTAAGACAAAATACTAGTGTTGAATTCCTGGGCTCAAATGATCCTCCTGCCTTAGCCTCCCAAACTGCTGGGATTACAGGCACTGGGCCTGGCCAAAATACTTAGCTGGGTGAACGGTGGCCCTAATTTTCCATGAGCTCCTCTATGTTCCCCAGAGATTATGTGTATCAAAAAGTTATGATTTTGATTAGGAAATAAGTAAATTAACAGTAATAACTTCAGAGGAAAAATATACTTCTGTAAGAAAAAATGGATCGCTAACTGCATTTCAAACATTTCAGCCAAAGAGCTTAAAATGTATGTATTTTTAACAACAATCTCTTGTCCAATCACCAAAGAACTTCTAATGGCAGACGGCAGTGAATATCTCTTCTGGGGAAATGCAGAGTGGTTTCAGTTAGTAAAGATGCACAGTGAACATAAAGTCGGGTTTTATCTAAAAATTCATGCTGCTTTTTTGCATTTGTCTCTAGAATTCCTTGACCTATGAGGAAATGTGAAAAAAATAATTCCAAAATAAATAAAACTGTCTTTGTTCACAAATGACATGACTGTCTACATTTTTAAAATCCCCCAAAATATACAAATAAAACATCTGCATGATGCATGCAGTGGCTCACACCAGTAATCCCAGTACTTTCAGAGGCTGAGGCAGAAGGATCACTTGAGCCCAGGATTTCAAGACCAACCTGGGCAACACAGGGAGACCTCATTTTTACAAAAAAAAAAAAAAAAAAAAGCTCAGGATGGTGTTGTGCATTTGTGGTCCCAGCTACTTGGGAGGTTGAGGTAGAAGGTTGCTTGAGCCCAGGAGGTCGAGGCTGCTGTGAGCCATGATTATGCCACTGTACTCCAGCCTTGGCAACAGAGTGAGACCCTGTAAATAACTCCTAAAACTAATAAGCAATTATAGCAAGGTTCCAGGATATAAGGCTAATATACAAAAGTCAGTTGCTTTGAACAATTGAAATCTTAAATTAAAAACACCATTCTTCCTTCAGGTCCAAATAAAAAAAAAACAACACATAATACCGTTTATGTCAGTTATCATAAAATGAAATGCTTAAGCATAAATCCAACAAAATATGTATAGAATCTCTATTAAAAAAACTTCAAAACTTTCCTGAAAGAAAGCAGATGATCTAAAAAACAGAGATATTTTATGTTCATGGGTAGGAAGACTCAATATTAAGATGTCAATTCTCCTTTACGTGATCTACAGATTCAATGCCATCCCATTAAAATCCCAGCAAGTTTTGTAGATAGTGACAAACTGATTCCAAAGTTTGTATGGAAACTCAAAAGACTCACATAGTCAACATAATACTAAAGAACAAAAGTTGAAAATACATCTGTTTACTGGCACCACTAAACTTTACAGAAATCAAGCCAGGTGTGGTGGCTCATGCCTGTAATCCCAGCACTTTGGGAGGCCAAGGTGGGCGGATCACAAGGTCAAGA